TGACCCTTTTGAGCAATTAAGCTGTACTGCACAAAGCATGCTGCGAAGTACACGGCCAGCAGAGGTGGGAGAGCCCCAAATTAAAATTCACAGATTGCACTGGGAGAAACACTTAGCAATTAAACATCTTGGAGGTGGCGTCTGAAGTTCCTGCCATTAGCAGCAATGAAAAATGCTTTCATATGTTGCAGCGAGAAATATGAGCAGGCAACTGGGGCCAAAACCATTTTTTTTTACGTCTTGGCTTTAGCATGAGCTACCAAATAAAAAGGGTGGCCTCCTGTAATGCCCACTGACATCACTGGTCCTGTACTGCTGCCACTGTAAAATATTGCTGCTCCTGCTGCAGGACAGTAACTGAGGCACGCCGGAAGATATACTTCTCACATGGTGGAAGGCAACAGGCAATGACCTAAGAGATGACCAAATAAAATATGGAATGTGCAATAAGAATCTATTTCTGGTGTCATTTGCTCACACCCCCCGATTCCGTGCCGCAGAAGCGACGCTGTCTTTGCGATGTGCCTTCCAAAGGCAGGCTTCAAGCTGACAGGGCTGTGCAACAGCAGCAGTGCCCTCAGTGCCGCCAGCCTGCCTGCCTCAGAAGGAAACCTCAGGGCTGGATCTTCCCAGCCCTCCCGTTGTTGTCTTGTGGCAAAGTATGAGCTCAGGCTATCTGATCTACAACGAGACCGACGCCGTTCCTACCTGTGCCATTTGCAATCCTTCCTCACCCAAGATATGATAAAACACAGCATGCCCTGACACATTAGCCAGCTTCATCCTGAAGAAACAGGCTGGAAATTGCACAGCCTGTATTGTGTGGTGTACAGCACTAACATTTCCTATGCTTTTGGCTCAGTGCACCTGCAGTTTCCTTGGAGTACCAAGTTAAGAGAGTAAAACACTGGTGTACCTCTTGAACAGAGCACACAGGAAAGCCTCCCTCTATACAAGACAGGAGAGGCTGCTCACGGCTGTGGATGGCACAAGAACAAGCTCCACCTTGCTGAATACAGCTTTTATGACATCCTTTCCCAAACGGTGCACGCCAACAAGTCTGAACATCTTCAACAGCACTGGCCATTGCTGCAAGAACAAAACCCCTCACAGGCCTCAGTGCCTCTTATGGCACATCTTGTCCCTCACTTGGGATGCATGCTGGATTTCCTGGTACCCATGAAGGGCGAAGGGAGGATTCCAAACACCTGCCTGCTGTACATGAGAGCTCAGCTGTGAGCTTTGCGTTCTTCACAGGTTTCTAACAGATGATGCTGCTCTCCATGAAGTAATACAAACCAGCACTTGCATTTTGCTGAAGATCATATCGAACACCTGCTAAGTTAAATGGAAGAAACAGCGCAGGATTATGTAAAATACTGGCCAAATCTTGCTTACTTTAACATTCTTTGTGAAGACCAGAAGGATTTGGTCCAGAAGTATCAGATACGAGGATCAAAACCTGCTACTGACTACCTTAAAGCTGAGAAATATATTTTTCTATCAACCCACTTGAAGATTTATAATACATTAAGGAACATTAAGGAGAAGAAGAAAAGCTAAATGGGCCAAAAGCAAACAAAAGAAGCATGTTCTCTTGAGATTGCTAATGCTGGCAGACAATAGCACAGAAAGAACTCCTCTGACAGATCTTTGAAGTCTTCAATACAGCTTGCTACTGGTCCATGTTAATGAGATTTGCTCAAATACTTTTAAATTATTCCAAAATGTCTTAATCTATTTTCTAAATCTTTTTTACCCAGTTGCTTCAGAAAAATCACAGCTTCACCCACCTCTTTTTTTTTCCTTACAAAAGGTGAGGTTTGAAACCAGTTGTGCTGCCCAAGATACACACAGCCTTTCTGGGGAGGCTTACCACAGAACACACAGGTAACATTCTGATTTCTATTACCACAGCTCACAGAAATGCTTTGCACCAGGCTGTGCTCTTCAGCTGAAGGAACTCGAAGGCCCTAACAATCAGGATATTTCAACTGCTCCCAACGTCAGCAAGTCAATGGAGCCGGTCGTTAGAGGTGCCCCAATGGCTGCAGCTACAGGACTGACATCCCCCCAGCTGCAGGCCCCACAAATCCCCATTTCCCTCTGGGTTTGAAGGCTGAGCGAAGGAGAATATAGGTAAATACATTGGAAGTTAGAGCTCAGACCCACAGATCTATCTGCTGACCATCTAATTTGGCACTGAGTTACAGAAAGCAGCTCCTGTACTATTTCTGATGTTCAATTAGCATTTAGCTCTGACAAGCATTAAGATTTGAAAGTTTAAACTAAGTGTAACTTTTCTAAATCCTTTGTGCTTGATTTTTTTCCCTGTTGAGGGTTTTCTAAAGGATTCTATCTTTGCAATCTTAAAGTCTGCATGTGTCTTTTGTTATCAATAATGTACAACTTTAGTAGCATGTTTTGTACCTTTCAATTTTTCAACACACAAGCTATCCCTGATTTACAATGCTCGCTGAATGGTGTTTGATTATTGAAAATGCTTTCACATACTTTTAAACAAACGAATGCTCCTGGAAAACCAACACCATCGTCCACAATTCCGTAAAAATACATTTCCCCACCTTTCTCCCCAAATCAAACGCTTCAATTCAAATTCTTACTTTGAGGAACAACTGGCAGATAATTAGGCACGATGCCTAGCAGTGCTAAATAAAGGAGCACGTAAACCCCTAATTCCGAAGGTTTAACCATCAGAGCTGCATCTATTCAGTTTGAGTCTCTGCTCAGAGCTCTGTGGCGTCGACAGAAGACAAAACAGGGACCAAAGCACAGCGTAACGCTGTCAGCATCCTGCTGCACACGCGGCCAGGCCTGCACTCTGCTCTGGGACACGCAGGGCCACGCGGCCGCCCCTCCAGGAGCACAGAGCCCTGCTCTGCACGCGCACCGAGCAGCTGAGCCACTAACTCAGAAGATGGGATTTCACCTGAAATTAAACTGTCGAGCAATTGAGCTCAAACTCAATCAACCAAACCCTTAACCTCCCCTGTTTCAGTGGCATGGCTCTAATTAGGACTCCATCACTATTTCCATTACTATCTCCTATTCTCATGGTTTATTATCTCGGCAGTTTCAATTTGACATCCAGTTTCTTAGACCACACATCACTCATTATGGCTTTATTTTATGAAACATTCTGCAAGATCATGGACAGATCCTGGAGCATTTTGTTGTAAATAGCACCAGCAACGCAGCGGGAGCAGGGCAAATCCCCACCTTGTCACAGAAACGTGCCCTACCATTGAAGGATGCACAGAAAAACTCTATTTTTAAGTTGTGAATTTTGTTCTGCAGTTTACAAACATACTTGAAAGCATGTCCCACATCCGTACACCACAGTTACTCCATGGTGTTCTCTACAGTCCTCGATGACTTCCCACATCTTCTAGATTGGCTGAACCCCGCATAGCAGCTCCTGGGTGAGACTCAACCTGTGCCACAGCCTGGAAGACGGGACAGCCCTCTGCAGTGAGATATTCTGCATGTCACCCAAACTGCTGACTGCACAACGATGCACGCCAGGAGCCAAATGCCTGGCATACGTCGTATCCTGATGGCAGGCACAGAAAACGTGCCTCCTTTTGGAGAAACAGGTTATAAAATTCAAGCCAGGCTGAAGAGGTAATGTTTTGTATTTATAACAACCAACATTTTTCATTTTCCCAGGTCAAATAGCACCTGGCCACACATCAACCATGGCTCCATAAGAATGCCAACATTCTCAGCCAGTCTGGTGCATGGGCTCCTGCCATTAAAAAGAACAAGCAACTAGTAATATTCAAATATTGAAGAGAGGCATATATCATACAACTGACATACACCACGAGGACAGCCAAAGACTGCAATATTCGCTTGAACTTCATGAATTTCATTTCATCCTCAGTAAATATATATTTTTGGCAACAAAGAACTTAAAAAAAAAAAAAAAAAAAAAAAAAAAAGAAAAAACACATCGTCCTCAGATCTATTTTAATTTAAAGCAGAAGAGAACAGGGACATTTCTTCCCTCTTGAAGTACATTTTAATAGAATTGAAAATAAAAATAGCTCTAATTCACTCTGATGCATTTAGTCATTCTGCAAAATTCTAAGTTTAAAATGAAATCACCATTTTATATTCAAACAAGGTCAAGGGAACAGTACTAACGAGCACTGACATCACAGCGAGCAGCAGCCACTGCTCAGCGCTTACATCAGTGTTGCTTGTTGCTATGGTGCTTAACCGACTATTAATTTCTGAAAGAAGGTGATTATAAAGCAGCCATATGAACCTCAGTCAGATGACACCCTTCAGTACCGAACACTGATCTGCATCACTCTTGCCTTCTGCAAGTTAATTCTATGAATCACCACTTTTGTGATGTTAATATTCCTTTCCAACTTGAAACTTTGGGCCAGAAGAGAAGCAAGGAGTTAATTCCGAAGGAAGGGACTTTCACATTGCTTTAAATAAAAATCATTTTGCACAGAGCAACAGCTAAATTCTGCTCTCCGCTGCACTGCTGCAAACCCAGCAGTGTGTCAGCTCAGGATGCCACAGCACTGAAGCTAACCAGGCCATTCCGCAGGGCCCCAGCCCAGCAAGACAACCAACCCCGCTGTGGGGCAGAGCTGCTGCGGCTCCCAGCCCCGCACTCATGAATGCTGGCCACGTGGCCACCAAGATCAACCAGAGCTGGGTCTTCCCATCCACACACAACTGCTCTCAGCCATCAGACAGCCCCCACAGCACATGGTGAGAAGCCAAAAAGGACATCCCTGGGGCCTTTCTCCTGGAATGCTGTTGGGCACCTAAACCATTGACTTCTCACGTCTGAGCCACAAAAGCTTCGTGCCAAGCCCAACCTCACAGCTCCTACCTGTGCTGCCACAGGAACTTCACTTGTGTCACTAAAGCACGTTCATGGGGTCTGTAGGTTCAGGTCCTCCATTCCAACATGTTCCAGAAACTACCCACAAGACAGTATTTGTATTTACCTTCTGCTGTTGCTCCTGTAACGCAATCTTCAGTTACAGCCACCCAAATAGGTCACTCTTCTTACCCTGCAAAAAGAAGGGAACACACATGACCGCCGTGTCCGCGCTGGCAACAACACCCAAAGCATTTCACTGGCCCCAGCCTTGCAAGTACAAACATAAATAAAGCAACAAACGAATCTAATCGTGTTTAATGGTGAATGACTTTCAGAGAGAGTTAATAAAAACAATCAAGTCACAGGACTGCTGCTTATCGGTACCAGCCCGTGTGCGGCTCTTCAGTTCAGCAAGAACAACTTGGTCTTTGGGAGGAAAAAAAAGCAACAAAAAACCGTGGAGATGAGACATCTTTGTTCTCCAGCATAAACTTTCTTAATCTTGATGTCTATCAATCTATTTTCAGTTTGAATAATATATGAGTTCAGTCCTTTGTTTCAGAAATCTGACTATTGTCTGAATGAGTTCTCCTTGCTTAAGGCATTTTAAGACCGTTTGTAACCATGTCTATTTTAGCTTCTGGATCCTTTCCTTTTCCATCCTTTTCCATAGAGACACAGTCCTAGATAAGATTTTAAAACTAGCTGCATCCTCCACGCCCCATTCAAAAAGTTGTTTACTGTCTTGAGGTTTCTCCTGGTTAAGCATACCAAGAAAGCCAAGGTGGTGAGAACAGTGGGTATTAAATGGAGAAATAATTAAAGAGTGTCTTTATAAAAAAGTAGGAGGGAGAAAACAGCACGTGCAGGGTTTTTTTTTACCCTGTATATTACTGCATCTTGTGTACTCTCTCTTATGCAAAAGAGTATGTAATCTTTTAAGAAACATGACAATCTGCCACTTTCTGTTCATGTAATTGGGATCAACATATGGTACAAGAGAAAAGAAAAACATTTGTTTATTAATTTAGATCGAGTTACTAACTCAAACCACTAACAGCACTCAGAATTAATTCAGCATCAATTGACCAAATACCTTAGAAGAGTAAAATTAGAACAATGTCACTGAAACACTGACCTGCTGCAGGGGTGCAGACTACCACAGTTTAATGAGGACAGAAAGAAGCGTGCAATAATTTGCCGACACAGATGACATCATACAAAATGGAAAGCCAGTGACATGTGGATGTGTAAGACAGAGCTACGTGAAACTCCATTTCATGAAATTCACACAGTGAGGTGGAGCTTTGGGGGTGTTACTGAAACTCGCCAAATGCTAAGTTATGCCGTTTCCATCAGGAGGTAAAGCTTTTGACTGAAGCAGCAGAATACCAACCTCTGGGAAAAATGAGAACCTCCATTAAATTATTTCTGAAGAAGATGTACTCACTTGCCATTTATTCTGGAAGGAAAAACTGTTTTCCCAGTAAGAATAAGGCACTTTCTTTACCACTGACAATTACCAGATCTAGGCAGAAAAAAAAGGCTAGCTTGAGATGAAATTAGTATTGCTTTTATCTGCTGCTATTTCACCTCATTTTAATGAGAGAGAATTTCTTTTGCCAGTGCTTGTGACGAGATACCGGGAGATGCGGGCCACAACACGTACGTGTGTGATGGATAGGAAACACTGCATGCTTCACTGGGGTGCACACATCACACACAGATCCTGCACTCGAAAGGACACAGCACTGCTCCATCCTAATAGCTCAGGCCTCACCTTCCTGAGAGCATGTAAAACAATACATCTTTTATGTAAAATACATGACCTCTGACATATGATGTGCTCTTAGATTAACAACAATAGAGGCTTTTATCTTGCTTTGCTGCAGGGGTTATCTCGGATGCGAACCTTTAAACCCCTTTTCATATTTATCTATTTTATAAATTCCCTGGTATTTGGCAGTCAGATCTGTATTTTGGCAGTATTTTGCAAGCAGACTTCATTTCTACCCAAGTCTTCATGAAAGCAAGAGAACCATCTTAAAATACACTTTTTAAGGAAACTGCTGAAAATGACATGTTTGCATAAAGCGTGCACACAATAACCCTCTAAGTGGGGCTGCAGCAGGCAGGTAACTTTGTCCACGTGTGCTGGTTCCAGAGAAACAACGCTGCAAGGCATGCTCTGCATTGGGCCTCTGCTGCTGATGGGCAGGATGTGCTCCAGGACGGGACAGTGAGGGCTGGGCAGGGCTGCCACGCTGCCCACAGTGCAATCACTGGCAGAGCTGGGGCTGCTTTCAGTCCTGGATATTTGTGCCATGCTACTACCTGTCAAAAATTTGGATAATGTACCACAGAAATTAAAATGAGCAGCAGGGACAGCTGTTCCCACCTGTGAAAATTTCTCATTAATAATCTAAAAGCCGAATATCTCAAAACGTAGAAATACAAATACAGACTCTCCTCCTGAAAATGTTTATACGGGTGAGTGAATTGATGTAGGCAACACACATTCCTTCCATCATGCTGTCTTTAAGATAAACACCAAGTACCATCAACACTGTAAGTGTGTGTGTGGAGCAAACAAGGAAAAAATCCCAACCTACCCAAGCAAGACAGTTCGCTACACTCATACTTTCCCTCGAGGAGATGATTAAAATAGAAAAACAAACCACACACAAAAACCCACTTTGCGAGCAGCGGTGGCCGTATCGTCTCACAAGTCGAGGGAAGCTCTCCCAACACCTGCAACACGGCTCCGATGGCTTAACTGGGATCACACAGAGGGGACAGACCATGCTGAACTACTGGCTGCGTTCAGATTTTACAGACATCCCTGAAAACATGGAGTTTACACACTGAGTGCCTCAGTTTGCCTATCAGCAAGATGAGTCAGTGCTTCTCTTAAGCATTCTGAAATCCCTGAGTATAGAAATACGTTTTATAAGAGCTGTTTTCAACAGGGTTTGGGAAAGGCAACCAGTAATGATGCTAAGATCACGATCTGAGCCACTGCCACGGCCTGCTCAGTTGACTTTAAGACAACAAACCCCTATTGCTCCAGATCCGGCCCTACGCATCTATTTGGTACCAGGGCACAAGACAAAGACAGAAGAGGCTCTGCCATTTTACCTGCTGCTGGGTCAGTCCCTCTGGCATTTCTGATCCCACCATACTTGCTCAATTTAGTGGTCGCCTTTGTCAGGAGATAATCCTGGGAAAGCTGTGGGATGGAGTCCTAACACCAAGTGAGCACTGCAAAGCCAAATTTACTTCAAAATATGAAGAAAATAGAGATAACCAGTGTTATGGAATGAAGCTCTACTTAAAAGATTAACGTTTTTATTAATACCAAAATCAAATAACCTCGAGTACAGCCAGAAATTGATGAACAAAGATCTTGAATCCACACAAATTGGGTGTGAGTAATTTTACGCAGGAAAGTAGAGCATCAGTTGAACTGCTTCCCTGCTTAGCATTATTCACTTCTTTTTTTGCCAGTCCTGGCCCCCAGTAGCTTACAAATCATTACTGGAAATCTAAACCAGAGAGGGAATCTCCCTGTCGTTACCTAGAAAGCACTCTTTTTATTCAAAATAGACAGAGAACACACACACAACAGAACAACAAAAACTGTTTCTGAATTTTGGTTTCCATTAACTTCTCTTATATAAGATTGGCTGAACTATATTTAATGTGTCTGGTTCTGTGATTCTGTGAATAAAATATTAACTACAGGTTTTCCTGAAAGCTTTAAAATAACAAAACTTGATAAGTAATATAAGTGCCTTCGTAACTCATCTAAATACAGCGAGCCACCTAACACCGCTACAGCTTCCCTTCAAACTGCCCAGGTCACACACAGCTGTACCAGCCTGAAAGGTGCCCTGCTATTGCCAGTATTACTATTTTGTCATCCGGGAGGGGAATCAGTGCAGCCAATGACTTTGTTGACTACAGATACGCAAAAGAAAAAAAAAAAAAAAAATTTGCTTTTTTATTTGGTATTTTGTTAACCCTGAGACTACACCTACAGAGTGCTGGCAAAGAGCAGCAGGCGTGCTGTGGGCACGGTGCTGCACACAGCTCTCCCAGCCTTGCACCAGCACACAAACCATGTGCAGCACTGCTCTGGAGATGTTCAGAATAAGGCCCTTCAGTTTTACCATGCTTGTTTTTTTTTGGTTTTTTTTTTTTTGAGGCGTCAAGCAACCAAATACACACACACACACACACACACATATATATATAATACTGAAGGGAAAAAGAATTCTGCCCTCTGTCAAGGCAGCTGCTTGTTACTGCGTAGTTTCTATTAAATATCACGGGATTTTCTTTATCAGGAGTCATTATCGCCTCCTCAGAAAGTGAAATGCAGGTGAGCAGCACAACTGCAGGGGCCGAGAGCTGCTCTGCCACCTCGCTGTGAGCAGCGCCGGGCAGCAGCTCGCTGCCTGTCGGGGAAGGGTGAGCACGTCAGGCCGTGCTTCATTTCCAGACGTCAGAAGGCTGGGCAGAATGTCTGCCCGGTGCTTTTAGTTTATTCTGAACAGAAATAAAGCAAAAAATAAACAGCAGCACGAGGACAAAGCTACGCGCGGCACATTTTCTCTTCCCACAGAATATTACCTTTCGTGTCCACTGTAACCTTGGGAAAGAATCACTTGACGTGAGCCAACGCTACCAAAGCGATCGCAAGCCATTCCTCCCCGCTCGGCAGCGGCTCGCACGGAGCCGTGGGCAGCGCACGACTCGAGCTCGGCTCGGCAGCCCGCGGCGCGCGGAGGGACCCGGCGTGCCCGCAGCCCGGCCGAGCGCTCCCCATCTCCCTGTTCCTTAAAATAACTCCGTGCCTGAATTCCGGCCTTAACCGTTTTATGTCTAGACTTCTCCTCCGGAAACTTGGCCTCGTGTGAGCGAGGAGCGGCGGGAGCGGCTGCGGGGCGAGCGCAGAGCCGCGGGTGCAGAGCGGGCAGTGCGAGCGCTGCTCAGAGCCTGACAGAAATTAAAAATTAAAAAAATAATAAAAAAAAAAATAGGGGGTGGGGGGAGCGGCGCGCAGTTACTTCTCGAGACTCGCACAGCGGTCCCGCAGCTCCGGCGCACGGCCGCAGCTCCGACGAAGCGCCGCCGCCTCCCGCCGCGCCCCCGCGCTCACCCCGCTCCCGCCCAGCCCGCAGCGCCGCGAGCCCCGGGCGCGGTGCGGCGGGAGCGGGCGGGCGGGCGGCCCTTACCTCGCGGCGGCTCCGGTGGCGGCCGCGCGGCGCTACCGCCGGGGGATCCTTTAGCGGCCCTTAAACGTTGAAGCCTAAAAACAATATTTGCTGTTTTACCTTGGAAGCGTTAACAAAAGCTTTGTTTTAGCTTTTAGCCGGGTGCGCAATAAGAGTTAATAATCAAATCCGTCCCAACCCCCACGAGTGTTAAACAAAAAGATAAAAGAAATGCAAATAGCTATTGTCATGGAAAGTTAAAGTACCTGTCTGTATTTTTAAGTGAAAACTATTATCTCTATCAATCAAAATTTAAGAATACAATAGCACTAATCACACGAGGTGCTGTGACTGAGGTACTTTTCGCTCATAAAAAAGTTTTTTTTTCCTTTTTTTTTTCTTACGCGGTGCACAGAAGCGCCGCGCTGCCCATCACGGGCGGTTCGAGCAATGGCGCTGCGCACCGCGGCGCCCCCCAGCTCCCCGCCGTCAGCGCCGCGCCAGGCGGGCGGATCGCGCCGCGCACCGCGGTCCCCGCACGCCGTGCTCAGGTTGGTGAAATTCTCTCCGCTCCTCGCACTTCCCAACATGTGGTGGAACAGCACACTCTTCTGTTTGAGAGGAGTTACTCAAACGGAGGAAATAGTTAATTGCTCGCCCCAACTACTGCTGCCGGCCTCGGCGCGCGGCGGCTCCCCCGCCGCCACGGCGGCACTCCGGAGATGCGCCCTTTGTCACCCGGCCCCGATGGCCACGCCGGGCCCCGCCGCCGGACCCCGCGCAGGGTGTGCGAGTAAGTCATTTCTACAACTAATCTGTTCAGACCGAGGCAGAAAGCGAGCCGCACGGTTAATAAGGGCGAGCGCGAGCGGCAGTAATTACAGCTGTACTAAAAGAAAGAGCTGCAGATGAAAACACCTCCAGCCAGTAGTTGAGGATGCCATGATGCGAAGCCCCGGCGCAGGGCTGCCGCCCGCCCCAGCAGCAGCAGGACTGTCATGTTTCCCCCCGCGCTATCAGGTTTCCTACTCCACAGCCCCGTGCTCTGCATCATGGCTAACATCTCCAGTGTGCTATTAATATCAATGAAGAGACGATTCAATTCCCACGTAAGGAAAACCTTCCTCTTACAGCACAGACACACTGGTGAGGACCCTTGCTAAGGAAACAATAAAGACCAGGGGGGTTGGTTTTTTTTTTTTTTTTTCTTTTTTTTTTTTTTTTTTGCTGCTGCTTTTGCAGTTCTGTGTTGCACACTGTTGGAAAGCTTTTAGCTAACAATGGCAGCATTATCTTCGGGATAGTTACAAAACAGGATTTGTTAGCACAAAGAATAACAACACCGAACTCACTCCCCGCTGCCCCCCCGCCAATACCTGCCTATTGCAGCACGGCGTTTCGGACTTTATTCGGAGTATATTCCAGAAACACCTGTATTCCTCAGCCGATTCCTGCTACAAACTGCCCCGGCACACCGACTTTGCTCAAGGAGCTTTGGACGATTCAAACAAACAAACAAACAAACAATCGCTCTCTGCATTTATAAAACGGAACAGAAACAAAAGTATCTCACCCTACCGTAGTGCAAACTTACCCATTAATGAGGAAGAAAAAGCCTTAGAGCTGCAAGTAATTCCCAACCAACTGCAGAAAGTTGAGAGTTTGAGAACACTAAAGCACTTCTGACTATCCAGCCTTTCTGTGCCTCAACACTGGCTGCAGTGTAAGGAAGGACTGAAGGTATGTGGTCTAAACACAACAAAAGCCACTGCCTTACTCTAGATTAAATATGCAGGAAGAGGCCCCTTTGCATAAACACAAACACTCAGCAAATGAGTAACTGGCTCAAATCAGACGCCTGCTGTGCATTCTACCTGTCCTGATCTCTGACAAGCTGCACAGCTTGTTTAAGGGGGTAGGAGCTACCAAATCAAATCCAACCATGGAGCTAAACGCTTTCCTCATCTAATAGTAAATAACAACAGCACCAACAACTCGATGCCAAACGTTCATTTCTAATCTAAGCACTGCTCTGGCAAAAAAACTGCACCGTGTGCTCTGCCCGCTTTGGCTCAGCCACCCATTTCACCACAGCAGAAACACAACCAAGCACCACCTGTAAAATTCATTTTCATTAACTGTGCTGCAACCCAATATATCGCCAGTAACAAGGATTTAAAATTAATACAGAGACTTCTGGTTGAGGTGACGCATTAAATGTGAATTTGCTCGCGCTGTCCCTATGTTTTGTTTACTATATAAAAGACATTCCACATGGAAACCTACTTCAGCTGTTACAAACCACTGCATAACGCGCACCAATTCACTGCTTCATTGGGGGAAAGGGAACAAATTTCTAAGGGTTCCTCCAAAAATGTCATTTCCAAAATATCAGTCTCACAAAACTGCCCCTCCAGACCATATTTACTTCCAAAACCAACTAAATTAGAGACTGTGATAACCACCAAGCACCTCGAAGCATCTATTATTATAATCAAATATCCATAATTATACACTGTGATTTATTCTTGCTTCTAGAGAAATAAATTATTTTTTCACTCCTGTGTATCCTCCCAGAAATAGAATGAAGAAGCGAAATGTGAAAGCTATTGGAATTCACCAGTGTCCCTCCCTAACTCAAGGAGTCAAATCGCATTGACCTCTTTCTGTAAGTCCTAGCTACATGTTGGTTTTAGTAATTTAATTATTTTTTAATAACTCGCAGTATTAAATGATTGCCATTGAAACACAAATAAGATTATACTCCCCTGTCTTTCTCTCCTGTGCTCTCCAGACTGCCGCACGAGATGGACAACACGACTGCTTTCGACACCGAAATTTCATTCTGAAAGACCCCTCGCACACAGAAAGCAGCACGCAGTGACTGGGCTCTCAAGCACGTGCTGCAGATTATTTCAAAGGATACTGGGTATAGCTAACAGTTTTAATGAGAATCAAACATGCTCGGTTCAACTAGGCACTCCTACAGAATGGAGGGAGTTTTCACTTTCCCTTGGATTAAACTCGCCGTGTTAAAACAAAATTGCTAACAAGAGCTAGTCAAGCCTAACAAGATAAAAATCCCCCCCACAAAAAATCCTGCAAGAAATTTTAGAGCCCCTGTATCACTCACTGTTTTTGCATTGAAATGACCTTCCAAATAAGGTGTTAAATAATACGGTTCACATAGATGATAGTGATCTAACCTTGATGCAAATAAACCATAGAACAAAATTTAATCAGTATATCACTGTGTAAAAGCCTTTGTCCATCCCAATGGAGCTTCTAATGACTGTTTTGGCAGTTCTGGCTGGTAGTTATGCCTCCCTGCTCATATATATCTCATACTGGTTGAGCAAGCTAATGGAACTGCTGTTAGTGGAATCCAATATTAATACCCTGCATCATGCAAAACTGGATGCAACTGAATATATTACACAATTACAGGTAGTGTCTAATTCCATAGGTATTAGATGCTGGAGTCAATTAATATTTTAATAGAGAAAGTGAAATAAATACTACATTTCAGGTAAGATGTATACAGAGTCTGGGTCTGCCGGTCTTCCTGCTGCAAGCCTACTCTGTCCTTAAACAGAGCAGACATAGAACCCTGACAAAAATTGGCAGGCAAGCTTTAGATGCTGTGTGACACATACTGATGCACAGAGTCAAAGATGCCATCTTCATGCAAGCTCCACTAGTTATGAGCTTGAGAGAAAATGAAACAAAAAACCCAACACAACAGAACAAAACAAGAAAAAAAAGGTTGGGGGGGGTGAGACTGGAGTGAGACCTCCAGAAAATAAACAGGGTGTACAGTTTCAAAGGCTACAGACACAGACATTTCATTGTTCAAGCCAATTATCAGTGGAAAATAATAACAACAGATGGATTCAGAGTCACTGACTTTTCATATGCACTTCATCTCTGCACAACAGATGATGAAATGCGAGAGCTATCTCGGAAAGGCAAAACATCTTTCAGTAAAAGAACTCTATACTCCAGATGGGGACCTTCTAAGGCAGCTGATTATCTTCTTATAATGTTGTAAGATAGGCTTACTAAAACATTTCAAGAACTGATCAGATAGGATGAGCACAATGGCATCATTATTCGAAGCAAGTTGCTTCAGCCTCAGACTTGCGACGGAATAGTCAGGGAGCTCAAGAAGGTCAGAGCTGCTCGGTGCCATTTCTTCATCAAGCGCTCCCGGTCGCAGCAAAGAACCCGAGGTCACCTCTTGTAACCTGGGCAAAACACGGGGGTCAGCCCTGCCCAGAGAGGAGACACAGGTGTGGGGCCACCGAGTCAGCATCTGAAGCAGAAGAGCCGGGCGCTGGTCCCTGTGAAAGTCCTGCCACTGAGCAAGGCGAGCCCACTCGGCTCACACAGACGCCAAGGCGGAGGACGGAACGTGTTTACAGTCACGACCATTTTCACTGTAATTGCTAAATGCAGAGGGGCCTCGTCATCCAGGGGTCTGATTTGGAGTAAACTCGGCTGAGTCGATGGAGCGGTGCTGGTGAAAACCGGCGTGAGGCACAAGATTTAAATTGTTTTTTACAAAGCTTTTACAAAACTCATCTCTTATGGGAAATAAAGCTAAATTTGCTTTCAAAGGGAAATAACAAATACATGTAAATTCTGGTGGTTCCAGTGATAAGCATTTCCAACAAATGTCACAAACACCCAGTTAAGAACCACCTACCTTTCATAACCTTCTCCCACTCAACCTGAATACCACAAAGTATGTGTTTTTGATAATATGAATCAGGTACACCACAGTCTCAAAACTTTAAAAAAAGAAGAAAGTATGAAGAAAAAAAAAAAAAAAAAAAAGAAGTAGTGGAAAAATTAGCTCATTAATCTTTAAGACAACATTTATTTAATGGAAGAATACCACATAACTAGCGCACTAAAATGAACCGGGTGCCATTTCCACAGTTTCCTCTCCAAAACACTGCGAGGAAAATTTACAAAAATCACACACTGGAAATCAGTATCACATACAGAGGGGTAGCAGCACACAACACAACACACTGAACTTGCACCTACTGCTAATTTATTTCACAAGTTGCAAAATATTTTATAAGTACAGGGCTGTTGATTTCACAAATGCGAAGGGAAGGGAGAAGTTTGCGGGCGCAGTGTTTCCCTTCGTTGTGAAGTACTTTGTCAAAAGTAAATTCACAAGGGGAACATACAAGCAAAGAGTAAATTTTGCCCAGGGCAAAATTCTGCAACTGCTTTAAGAAGCAAACAAGAACACAAAAGATGTGTAATACAACCATCTGGCTCTGCTCATGCTATATCAATAATCCCCAAAATTTATCCCCACCCCCTTAATCAACCCACACTGATGCCACAAAACCAAATGGCATCACTTATGCTTCCTGCCCATCACATTTTGAAATGATATTTAATATGCATACAGTACATATTTGCATGTTAATCAATTTCTTTAAGAAAACGAATATTTTTGCTTCATGAGCTATTAGTTCAGCTTTTTTCTTCTTATTCATGCTGGGATCTGTAAAACCACCAAGAAAGTCCTTGTGGTAAAGATACTCTCATATCGACACAGCGTGTCAGGTATCAGGATAACGTACCGGTCAGAATTTCAATCTCTTCTTCTCTCTAGTTTTGTGTCACAGTGTGAAAATAGCAGAGGATGAATAATAATGTGCCAGCAAAATTATCAGTTCAAGAAACATGGGTAAGCAATCCATTTTGAAGTTGGTTTTAGATGTGTTTCTAAGCATCACCCTACGTGGGACGCAAGGAGGGAATGATGCAGACAGAAGGGGAAAAGGACACCTCAGCACATCTTTTCTATCTGGGATGCTAAGAGTTGGCCCCAAGTGCTTCCAGCTGCCACCATCCTGGAAACACTGCAAAGACCAACATCTGAGGTGACACTGAGCACACGTTTCCTCATACCCACAGGATCTGGGGCTGGATCCTCCTCCCAGCACACAGCGAGGGGGAAAAATCATATGAAAACCCTGAGCGGTGCCACAGGCTGCTGGGAGAAGAACACGAGGAGCTGCATGCCCAAGAGAAGGCGTGTGGATGAAGGACAGGGCCGACGTGCAAAGGCTGTACAGCTGGGACTGCCACTCACTCTCACCCAGAGGAAGGTGGGAGACAACCCTGCCGCAGACAGACGGCAGACAGACAGACGGCCTCGGTGGCCCCGTGGGCAGCCCCACACACAGGCCAGGCCCGGCACGTTGGACTGAAAGAGCTGCCTCGCAATTCTCTGGGGCTGGCTCGGTTCTTGAGGGAAAATCGCCCATGTAACCATCGTGATTCATAGCGCGAGTGCGCGCCGTAAAACGGTACCAACAACAGCACTTCAAAGGCGGCCGCTCACAGGCGCGATGGCCACAGCCCTGGCTGCTGACTCACAGCTCTTATTCTTAATTGACTTCTCTGCAACAACACAGCCCGGCCCAAAGCCCGCCCTGTGCTCCAAAACACCACAGCGTGGTTGGGTCTCCCTCCCTGCCCTCAGCAGGCCGAGGGCAGCACCAGCTGCCACAGGCAATGGCTTTGGTGGCATGGGAGACACCGAAGGCTGTCCCCATGGCCGCCGGTGGCACCATGAGGGGCTGAGCACAGCTGCCCTGTCCTGGCACCCGTGGCTGGCAGTGCTTATTGCCTGCTGAGCGCCAGCACGGGGCGGCTGTGCAGGAAAGGAGAAACACCGCTCCAAGCATGGGTAGGGAGGCAAAGGTGGGAACATTCTGCCACTATTTTCTTTGTGAAAAAGCACACTTAGAGCAGCTATGACTGTTCTTAGATCCAGACTGCTGATCTGAGATCGCAAACACTTTGTCAATGTATTTTTTTAAAAATCCTTTTCTGGATTTTGCTTCTGCTGTTTCTACGGCTTGACTTGTACGGCTTCTTTGTAAGAATTGAAAACAGTCTCCCACAAACACAGGAATGGGGAACGGTTTAGAGCTAATCCGCACCTGGGCTACGTAAAAGGGGCTCATATTTTCCAAACAGAAACACAACCCTTTTTATATAGGAACCAGATCGGGATCCAAATGCTAAACCGTTCACCACATCCTCCGTGGGCCTCAGCAATGGCCAAGGGGAGCGGCGGTCCCCCCACACTGCAGACGTGTCTGTGCAGAAGCACTGGGCCCCACCTCGACAGCGAGCCGTGCGTGCAGTGCCACCGTGGGCCACGTCCCAGGGCAGAGCCGCCCCGAGTCGCAGCACGGCGCTGCCCAGCCCGCCTTCCAGAGGGATCTGGCCCCGTCTTCTTACTCTTGTTAGAAAAACGAAGGCTGTGACAGAAAATAGCTGAGAACTACATCTCGCTGATGCCAGTATACAATAATAACACGTTCAAAGATTTAATTTAGAAGACTACAAAGTCTAGCTCATATATCATAACACCTTGAAATAACACTTTAAGGTCAAATCCTGCGCATTTTTGGAAACCACCAAAACATAATGAAGTTTTACTTAAACACAGCATTTACATTTATAACGCGTTTCAGATTCTTCAAGTAAGCTAGACCACATGGCTAGGAAAATGTACTTCCCACAACATACAAATTAAGTCATATAGAGCCTTCCCTCAGCAGGCTGAACAGCCACTGGCACAAATGGAAGTCCTGTGTACGATCAAAGGCAGCATGTGGACCTAAGAATATGATTTTTTTTTTTATTTTTTTTAATTGGCAAAACATCAAATCCCACTAGTAGTTTATTTTTGTTGCCTTCCTTGCCCCTTTTCTACCTCTCCCACTTATTTCACAACGGAACATTTTTAAACCACTAGAAATCTTTGTGGCAAAGATGATGTCATACTGACACAGGATCAGGTGTGAGGTATGGTATGAATAAATACTTATCCGCAACCACATTTAATTTTCAATGGTTGGGCATCAAGAGACAAAGAAGTTCTTATGCAGACATATTTACTGAGGATTTAATTTTAAATGGTCTGCATTTAAAAGAGCAGAAACACCACACAGGGCAAGCCTGGAAGGAAAAAAACAAACTCCAAGCCTCTTTCACCTTCCTTCTGTTTTGGGGAAAGCAGTGCACAGCTCTAATGCTTGCTGCTCCTCACATCAGTAAATAAATGGTGGCACTTGATTATTTCTTCTCGTAAGTCACTGATAGCACGCAGAATAATTGTACTTTATGTGCTGCTAATACAAATCGTCCCTACGAAAATAAATGTTTTTTGCAGTAATCAAGCAGGAACTAATTTTGTACTTTTTCACAAGTAGCCATTTAGTTTGGCACTGAATGGTAATGCGTAGTAGAGAATGCGGTGTATGCTCTAACCCAAGAAAAATTAGACTTGAAAATTAATACATAGCGAAAGACAAATTTAAAGCAGCCTTCTTGTGTTCTGACACAAGAATATAAAAATGACACGAGCAACTAAAGATTAGTTTACATACTTTTCAATCACAGCTGCCGCTCAGTAACCACAATACCTTTAAAATGACATTCTATGGAAACACAGTTTGGCTGCAGCAGCAGTTACGTACGGTTAACGTGAAATTAAAAGGGCA